ACAGGTTCACAGAGTTGTGCACCATATCCTTGGAGCCTTTGAAGAAAAGATGTACTGCTCTGCCGTCTTTTTAGACATCAAACAGGCGTTTGATCGAGTTTGGCACCTGGGACTGCTGCAGAAAGTGAGGACCACCCTTCCAGCCCCATTTTTCGCGTTGCTATCCTCATACCTTATTGGAAGAACCTTCCAAGTGTCAAGGGGGCAAACAGTATCCTTGACTAGACCAATTATGGCTGGAGTACCACAGGGTAGTGTTCTAGGCCCAACACTTTATACTTTATTCACAGGAGATATGCCAACTCCCGAGCCAAATATAGGAAGTACAGATGCAGTACTCATAGCGACCTATGCAGATGACACCGCCATCTTATCACGTCACGTATCTGCGCAAGAAGCTTCAGACTCACTACAAAAATATCTGGACTCTTTCGGACGCTGGGCAAAACGGTGGTGTATCACCATTAATGCACAAAAGTCTGTACATACTACCTTCGCCACTAGAAGAGGAGATTGCCCAAGCGTTGCATTGGGGCCCACTATTCCCAAAGCCTCAAAAGTAAAGTACCTTGGTATCACTCTTGACAGAAGGCTGACTTTTAAAGCGCACATAAGTCAAGTAACCTCAAAATGCAAAAGCAAGCTAAAAACCCTCGACTGGATGCTGAGAGCTTCAAGCAAGTTGTCTTACAGCAGCAAGGCCGCCATCTACAAGGCAATAGTTGTCCCAACCTTCGTATATGGTATCTCTCTATGGGGCTCCTCGGCGAAGACTACAAGGAACAAAATTCAGACCCTGCAGAATAAAGCACTACGCAGATGGACTGGAGCCAGCTGGTTTGTAAGAAACTCAGTCTTACATAGGGATTTAGCAATTCCCACAGTTGCTGAACTCATTGGGCGACACAGTTCAAGATACGCGGACAGACTTGCAGCGCATCCTAACCATCTCGCAAGCAACCTGGCTATAAACAACAATAGGCGAAGACTGAAGAGATTGCATCCTCTAGACAATATTAGAACTAATTAAGATAGTAGCTACAAGTGCAGAATAATTGGCATATCTGCCCTCCCATTAGTTAAGGTTTAGAGCTAAATGCGCTATAGAGTCTAAGACAATAAGCTGCAACAAAATAAAGAAATAAAAACGAAAAAAAAAAAAAAAAAAAAAAAAAAAAAAATATTACGTCTGACATCGGTTCTTTTGCTGTTTATTTCCTCTACTCAGAATTTCGTTGCCTCCTTCGCTTCCATCCCCCGGTGCCATTTGCATATTACTTTTATTCAAATTATATTAAGTAGGCACAGTCGACAGTTATGGCATGGAATCTTGACAAAAGTCGGAATTCATAATTTCTTAAGCGCTGTGCTTTCAACTACTTTGGGATTTGTAAGCCAACTGGCACGTGGGGAGGGCAGTCAGTTGGTGGCGTCGACGAGGCACACTCCATATATGGTATTTATAGTGCTTACATGTCCTGAATGCCTGATGGCATGTCACAAGTGAATAGAATATACCTTTTTGGTGAACATTAATTATGTTGAATATGCTTTTATTTGGAAACTTTGCGTTCTCCTTGACTGCGTTATTGCTAGTCATTTCCACTTGCTTTAGACAACTGTTAGAACCAAGTAGGAAAGGCGGGAATGTTTTAAATAAGATATTCATAGTTTAAACACTTAATAGTGCCTTAAAAAAAATAGTGAGTAGAAATTTTATATTTTTATTTTTTTATGATCTTTTCTTAATCACAAACCTTGCATAGCACGACCGCAGCTTGATAATTTAGTCTCCATTCTATTCCCTGGCTCATTAGCTCGTTGTCTTTAATTTAAACTTTGCGCGTTATGCAACACTGTGCCGCCCCTAGTCACAGTGTTGCCCTAATCGAAATTGTTAGCATTTTTGGCACGTACCAAAGAAAAAATCAGCATAAAAAGCTCTTAACAAAATGTCTTCAAAATGAAGTAGCCCAAAGAGATTGGACCGAACGCTGGGCAGCAGTGTGTGGGTGGTTGCTGTGTGTGTAAAGCGGGGTAAATGCATCGCCAAAGTGCCACAAAACGATCAACGCTAACCGCCCACTTGATAGACGTAATTTCGGGACAAGTAAGTAAGCCCCACGTTTCTAGCTCAACCCGCCCACCCGTCTGTCCGTCCGCCCGGCTGCCGACTGCTGGCCAAGTGCTGTGCATTTAAATGTTCGTTTTGTTGCTGCTTGCAGAAAGCTTCGCCTAATGACAACCACTTGCGGCTGTCAAATGCAACTCTGGGGCGTGCCACGCAGCGCTGTAATATTTTATGCGTGTGCGGCTGCGGGCGGTAGGAGCGCAAGGAGGATGTTGCAGCTGCAAGCTTTTTGTTTTTGCCCAACAATGGCATATGAATGCTTTACCAGTGCACACACAGCCCCTTCCCGGCCTCTCAGGCAGCACTTTCATTTTACTTGGTCACAAATGTCCTCGCCGTCGTCGTCTTTGCCTTTTCCATGGCCCTGGCGACTGCTGCTTCTGCTCATTTGGCAGAGCTGGCGGTTGTGGCATTCTCTTCCTGCCACTCGGCGCATTCATAATTTCCACATTAACCTTATTTTCCAGTTATGCATGAGTGCGAAAAAATTGTCACCAGCCCGAGAAGGTTTTTACGACTTGCCTCTGATGGATTTTAAATGAACTTTAACACATGCTATGTGCCCTGTGACACGCCTCAGACCGACCTGCCCCAAAATGGGCGTTGGCTAAGTAATTGGTTTTGGCTGGGGCAGTCCTCGAAGAGATTACCTTGAGTTGGCGCTGATAAAGAAAATCAGCAGCAGCATGTTTCCACTAAGCAAATGAGGCTAATCAGCAAAGTTCCTTTGGAAACTTGAAAATTCTGGGCCACCCTAATGAGATATTGTGCAAAGGAACTTATGAAAATCGTGTCAAATAATAAAACTAAAATAAAATACTGTGATCAATTTGTTGCTGCGTTCTAGTTGCATTTGCAAATAGTGAAAGCTTAAAAAAAATGTGCTGAAAGGTATTTCATAGAGAAAAATTTGTACTGGAAAATAAATATGAGACACATTTTTCATACTCAAACAGCACTTAGCTTTTAGGTACAAAAAAATTTACTAGATTTAGTATGCACTGAACAATGAAACCTTGATACGAATGGCCATACGTTAAAGCATAATGAATATATACCCTAGAATTGAAGACTAGCACAAAGTCAACTCAACTGCTTAAGCAGAAGGATTTTAGTCTATGATTAAAATATATAATTCAGTCTTCACTTTAGCAATATCTGTTGTAGTTAATTTTAAATTTAATTTATCTAAAGTTGAGCTCATGTTCTGCAGCTCGAATTTGCCAAATACAGCGCAACTGCAAGTCTATCACAATTTGAGTGGCCAAACAAATACTTTCACCACAATAGCTAGCTCAATGCCCATATTCAAAATGTTTCCCATTGTCTGGCAAACATTTTCTTTTTCTTATCTAAAAACTAGAGCCTGGCATACATACATTTATAGCTGACTGAAACTGAAATGCATTTTCTAGCGCTTTTTTGGCCATTTGTTGTCCTGTTAGACATTCATTCATTTCTAGTATCTTTTGCATATTCTTTATGTTCATTTCTTGGGGAGTGACACATTCATTTGAATTACTTCCTGCCAGCAATGAGTGCAGCACCCCGACCAGTCCAACGAGAATAACCAAAAAAAGGAACTTTATATATAAATAGACGCTTGAATCCATTTCGTTTGCTCATTTATAAGCAGCACATGTGCGCCTGATGTGATATGTCTAGAAAGGCTCAGTTGATATTATCCCCAGTCACCCCAGTGTACCAACTCAAAGTGCAGTGGGCTCTGCCTGGATGTGGGCGTGGCACTGTTCACATTTAGTGTGTGCCAAATGCACATTTAATAACGTAATTTCTGAAGCGTGCAAAAGATATTTTTGGAATTTAGTTTCTTTCTTTCTGCAACTTTCTGCTTCATCTTGCAAGCTACAAACAAAGTCTCCCATATATATATATATATATATATATATATATACATAATATATATGTATATGCATAGCTGTGTGAGTGCCGCCTCGACGTGAGGATGTCGCACAACTTTTTAGCCAAATTTGCATATGCAACTGACGATGATGACGTAGCCTGAAGCAGCAGGAATTACCAACTGGATGGCACTAGAAATAGCTGCTGGCACTAGTCCTGCGACTGTCTGACTGCCCGACTCCCAGTCACTAACTCTGTCTACAATATTCCCGTCTACTGAGTTTGTGTGTGTGTGTGTATAAAAAGCTACGCCACTTTTATGCAAATAATGTCTTCCAGGAATTTTTGTTATTTATAGTTAAGATACCAAACGTGTGGATGCCTCATATCTAAAAGTGTGCATTAGTAGCTATGTATGTGGGTGTGTGTGTTGTACTTCCTAACAAGTTATAGCTTCATTGCTTCAGCCAAGTTCTTCACCTTAGCACGATGGGCGTTGTAGAAGTGCGAGGCGCCAAGACAAGTTCAACTATCTAAGGCTAGTTTCCGTATTGCTCTGCTTGTATATAGATATGTATGTACTATACGCATACATATATAACTGTGTCTGTGTATATTTTTGCCTCGCAGTCAAATTACATTTGGGAGCTCATAAAAAATAGCTATTAAAGCTTTTGGCAGTTGATTTTGATATGTGTTGACTCATCCCTTCCATTGCTTGCTCATAATTTAAATTGACATTTCTATTAGCTTATGCGCATTCCCTTTTTAATACTCAAATAGAGAGTACTATATATGAAAGCTCATCAACTTTTCAACTAAACTAATATAAATTTCTGCGTCTCTATTTCATATTGAGTTATTTGCCTTTGCAATTTCCAAATAGTTTTCCCTGCCAGATTATCAATTTGAAGCGCAAATAAAATGAAGTTTTCGCTCATTATTAACAAACATATAAAGATATGTAGATATATAGATATGTATATTGATTATTTTCTTCACTTACCTAATTCCACATATAGTTTTGGTCGTATATTCTCCTGCCAGGCACTTTGATTACCAATCACGAAGAGTGTCAGTAGTAGGAAGACTTGCATCCATCCAGAATTCGGGGCTAGTGTTTTTGCACTTTGCAGATGCATTTTGTGGCTTTTGTTATTGTTTTGTTGTTTTGTTTTATTAACCGAGTTGTGGGAATTTAACATTTTGTGTTTTGCATAAATTTACTTAATTTTCCTCGCTGTAAATATTTTATTTGTTGCGGTCAGCACGAAGGTGTGTGTGTGTGTGGGGTTTGTATGAAATTTATTTTATTTACTGAGTGCGTGTTCATAGGTTTTATATTAAATTTATTTCATTTACTGATTCTGATTTACTTACTATTTAAATGCTATTTATATATGTGGCAAATATAATTTTGTATCTTTATATTTTGCTCTTCTTTTTTTTAACAAATTTCTTAACAAAGTTAATAAAAACTGAGCGTTTTTTATTTTAAATTTTTTATATTTATTTTATTTATGATTTTGGTTTTTTTGGAACAACTGGTTGTAAAGTTTTTAAGTCATTCTGCAAAGAGATAAATAGAAGAAATTGGTTATTAAAATTTAAATAAAAATAATGTGATGAATATATATAAACATATTTAATTTACTTATATTCGGCAAATATTTTTTGAATGTGTATAACAAATGTTTTATAATTTACATAATTATTAAAAAATGTTTGTTTATTTATATTCATAAATTTTAATGCGCTTTCTGCAAAAAATTACGTATACGAGGTGTATAGAATATAAATTATATTAAATAGTCTTAGTATACTATATTATATACAAAATTATTAAATGTAGGAAAAGAAATATATATAATTTGTTTTCGTTGTCATACATAAGTAAGCTTAGCTCTTAATTCTTAAGCACTTTTATGGTACTTGGAAAATCAAAATATAATTTACTCTAGCCTTTACCATTTTTCTGTTAAATTTTGCATGCCTACTTTCAGGCACTTTGTGCAAAACTAACAATCAGCCAAAGCAACACCAACTGAATGTGGCAAGTGCTGCTCCAAGTGGACACTCGACTTTAACACTTGTGGCCCACTTGCTAGACCCCCACATCTGACTGCAACCAGGCACTCACACAAACGCACACACACGCGTATTGTTGACATCATAATTAGAACGTAACCGACACACACACACACACACCTACATACATACGCACGCATTCTCACAGTTGACTTAAAAACAAATTGCGCTGCACTTTTGCGCCGTTCTGCTCAGATTTATGACACCGCATAGCCCCCTCAACTGTTCTGACACCTTAGACTTCCCACACTTTCATCACCCCTTTCAGTCGCTCATGTGCCACATTTCTACATTTCGTGCTACATTTTAATTCGCTGGTTGCGGGCGAATGTTGAAAAACTCATTAACTGTGCACGCTACTTGGCACCTTTTTTGCAAGTTTTTCTTTTTGGCTTACAATTTGTTCTCACTTGCCTCATTCGCTCACTTTGTGCGCGTTCTTTTTTCTTCTATTAGACATTATGTTTGCTTGCTTGCTTACTCACACACACACACCTCTCCCTCTCCTTCTCTAACTCTTCCTAGCATCACAGTTTTGTATTTCACTTCTTTTTTCTTTGCAGGTCGGGCCCCCATTTGTGGGCGAAGGTCGACAACTTATCTGCATGGCAGACATTTCTAGGCATTCTCACTGCCCCCAACGGGCGTCTATGTGAGGCTGTGCCTGTGCCTTTGTGTGTGTGTGTATGTGTTTTTGTGGGTGTGCATATACATGATTGCACAATAAGCCGCTTTGAGAATGGTCTCCTTCTTAAATCGAGCATAAATATTATGCCAAGCACATGGAGAAAACGCAAAATGCAATAAAATTAATTAAAATATAATCAAGAGCCAAACCACAGCACAGAGTATGAACTATATTAATTAACTTTATGTTTGACTAAAGGAAAATCTTTGAAACACACAAATAACTAAAAACATAAGCAAAATATTATAAATATATGATTAAATATAATATATAACAATTATAATGCTATATTTGATAAAAATTACTTTAAATTTAAGAAACTTTTTTTTTAATTTTTTCCCTAGCGAATAGCTTCAAAATGGTTTAACATTTAATAACAGCAAAGGGAAACAGAAATTTTTAAAATCAACTATAAAAAAATACAAGTAATTTGTTTAATAAATAGCTTGGTTTACATGGCCCATAACACTCTTGCTTAAAATTGTTATTAATTAAAGGAATTTTTTATGTGCTTTATATTTGCGCCCTGCCCCCTTCTTCCCTTTTGTGAAGCGACACATGCTATTGTTTGCACATTGTCCTTTTCAGCAAAGCTGAAAAAAATCTCTCTCTCGCAGCTGAAAAAATAACACTTTGGCAAATATTTCGGAGACGACATTAAAAATGGCGAGAGCCAGGCATTTAAAATGCAGCTGCAAACAAACAAGCAAACCGGATAGAGTGCCAGTGCACTGCACCAGCGATGCCACTGCACCACACGTCTCTACACATGGACAATTGCATTTTTGGGCTGCACTCGTTGCAATTTGGTTATCGTGTGTGTGAACTTAGGGCCAGTTCAGCAAATGGTAACCCAAAATAAATGCAGCAGGAATATGTCAAGTGCGGTAATGCCAACAACAACGATCCCAACGAGTCCGACTGAGGCTCAGCTCATTGTGTGTCCTCAGACCGAGTCTGAGCCTGATGCATTGCGCATATTACTCAAAAATAATGAAAAAGAGCAGCAAACGTTGCTGATGGCAGTTTGTGATTTTAGGTTATTCATTTCTTTCCTTTTTCTTTTTTCTTTTTCAACCACAACACACACATACACACACACAACCGCCCACTGTTAACACTCATCAACGGCGCCATTTGTTTTGCGGCCGCCATTTTGTTGCAACTGGCAAAATGGCCGCACAGCCGTTACGGCTATTTCGAGAGCTCACTGCAGAAATCAGCTCTTAATACACAAATAAATGCCGCATTTCCATATATGTGCACACATATGTATATGTATATTTCATATATATATATATATATAATGTTGTCTGTTTATATCGTTTGTTCAGTGTCTGTCGGCAAAACGAAAATATTTATGTTGCAAATCTTTGCGGCTCGACGTTATTTTTATTTTTGTATTTGGTTCTCGTTTCTCAGTGTTTCGTGACTTGTTTGTCTTGTCTGCATATCCTGCAGCGATTTCGCTTCGTTTTTTTTTTGTTGTTGTTGTCGGCTCCTCGCTTTGTTTTGGCTGCAGCAGTCAACGTCGACGAGAAGCGACTTTACATATATAGAAATATATATCCTTGTAAATGGGATTTGTTGCCTGGGCCGTCGCGTAAACTTCTCATTTATTAGCTTTCGTTCGTTCGTTCGTGTGTGTGTATAAAAATATTTTGCAATTTTTATAAGCACATGTGTGTATGTGTGTAGATGTGTGTGTGCGTTATCCTGGCACCAGAACAAACAGATTTATTCGTTTAGAAAACTTTGTTTCCTTATCTGAGTTCGTGTCTTTGTTTGTGTTTTATGTCTCATTTCAGGCGGAGCTGGGTCGTGAACGTTCTCTGGTACTTGAGTAAATAATCATAATGGAATTTTTAAGGCTTATGACAATTTAACATGTAACCTGTGCACATGTGTGTGTGTGGGTGCGAGTGTGTGTTTGGGGCCCGTTTCGCTCGGCTGCCTAAGGGTTAACAATGAGTTATGCGGTTTTATCAAAACATTTTATATGAACTGCAAACCTTAATTGGAATTTATATCCAAAATAAAGTCAACTTCATATTTTTTTTTTGGTAAATTACTAAATGATAAAATATGCTTTTAATCTTCTATTGCCTTGCAGCTCAATTAAGGGCAAGGGCAGAAAGTTTAAGGATAAGACAAATTTAAGAAATTTGTATTTTAGCTAAGCTTTTGACATCAATTTAAAGTCAAGACAAATACTTTAAAAATAAATTTACAAATAATTTAAGTTAAAATTAAGAAATAAATCTAAACAAATATTTTTCAAAAAGAAAATTTAATTCTTCGAATACAAATGAATCAAATATGAAATCCAATTTTCGACTTCATTTTCACATGAAAACATATTCAAACAAAGGCAATTCCATTTACAGGGTATCAAGCAGTCAAACAAGCAATGCAAACACATGTTAGTTGGTTTGCTTTCGTACGAATTTAAAACTAAAGCAAACCAAGATGTAGCGAGTGGGGTAAACAGATTTCCATTGTGCGAGAAAAGCAATTGCAAAACCATTTCTAGTATCTGGCTGCTGGGCGAGAAGCGTTATAGCCATTTGCAGCAGATTCTCGACCACTTAACTGAAGTACTTCTATCCAATTTCGGTTATGCTGTAGTCAGCAGCCAAGGCGAGTTGGTTTTTTGCTGCATGAAACTATAAGTACAAGTGGTACTTGAAGAACTTCTTCTGCCACATACAATCCGTTTTTTTCCTATTTTCTTTCTTTTTTTAGGGGAAACAGTTGCTGGCGTCTGTGGCTTGGTCTTCAATTTACATGTTCATAAAGTGTAAATTGGAAATTTGAGCTTTCGTAAGTTGGCGCTGCGGAATTATTAATGAATTGAGAATCAGCAACAAACTTTGCCATCATAACAAGTCGAGGAAGGTTGCTGTTGGACGAGTGCAGCAAAAGCCTAACAACCAAAGGCATAGTGTAAAGTGAAGAAAGAGCAGCAGTTGGCATTGGCGCAGTTGCAATGCGGAAGTTGAAAATTTATTTACATAACCACAAAAGAAAGAAGAAATACAAGTAGCTGGGAACAACATTAACTGAAAACCAGCAACAGCAGCAACAGCAGCAGCAGCAGCGGCGGCAGCCACTGCAAATGGGAATGACAACGAAAGCACAACAATAAATAGCATTATGCTAATCCAGGCCAAACAAAATGGCGAAAGCAAAGAAAAGACCAACCTACCGCACTGGGCCCCGCCCACCAATAGACTTTGCCGCGTCCTTGTTGCGGGAAGCATTAGCTGCGCGCTGGCTGCCAGGCAGCAGCTGCCATTTGCCACCATGGCCAACAGGAATAATAATTATGAAGGAAAACAGCGACAAGCGAGAGTGAGAGAGAGAGAGAGAGAGATAGATGGATGGCAAAGCAAAGCGGCAA